GTCTGTGGGCAGAGGACCCTGAGCCCCCGCCCGGCGGGGTGCGCCCCCCCCCAACCCGGCCGCTGCTCACCGATGCACTCCCCGCGAACGTCCTGTGCGTAGCCCACGTTGCACTCGCAGCGGTAGCTTGAAGGGGTGGGCAGGCAGCGGCCATTGAGACACAGATTGGTGAAATGCCGGCAGATGTCGATGGTCTGGTTCAGGGTGGCTGTGCCTGAGGACGGGGACAGCAGGCGCACCTGAGTCTAGGCCGGGCCTCTGGGTGTGGACGCCCACGCGGAGGCTGGAACCCCGCCCACTTCAGCCTGGAGTCCCGCCCTAGCCGCAGACCCCCCCACACACACTGGCTGACACCCCACTGTGGGCCCAGACCCTCACCATGGAGTGAGACTTGTCCCCCTCCCCCCCTGCCCCGCACCCGGTGCCAGACCCCTACCCAAGGCCTGAACCCTGACTTTGAGGCCCAGATCCCACATCTACCCGCACCGCCAGACCACTATCGGTACTTTCATTTCTACTGCCCAGGCCAGGACGCCCACTCCAAAGTCCTGACCCTCCCCCTGAGGCCTGGACCCCCTCCCCTGGGTCTTGGATGCCTCTTCCCAAGCCCCAGGCCTCACCAATATGGGCGTTGCCAAGGCCCAGGCCGGGAACGCCACGCCCATTGGAGCCATGGGGGCTGTGCCACGCAGGCCCAAGGCCAGGACCCATGCCGTTGGATCCAAAGCCAGGGAGACCAGGGAAGGGGCCGGGATAGGAGGGCAGCAGCGGGAGCCCCTGCACGCACAGTCGCTGGAACTCATCTGCAAGGAAGCAGAGTTTGAGGCCAGGCCCTCAGTCGTGCCCCAGGGGCCGCAGTCTTCAGGCAGGAGCTCTGGGGGGGCAGAGGAAGGAGGGGGGCAACCCCAGGCCACTCACCAGAGCCCCTCGGAGGACACGGCTCTGGGGCTGGGCCAGGAGCCCAGCACCTGCCCCTGTCACAGCAACACTGCCTCTGAGTGTAACGGCCAGCAAGGTCTCCGGCACAGCGGCCTACAATCAGCACCGAGAAGCAGGTGCCAGCCCGGTGGTCTGCAACGGGGATGGGAAGGATCTGTTACCAGCCCTGGGTTCAAATCCCAGCTCCACCAACACTGCAGAACCTGCAGAACAGGTTTCCTTGCCGCTCTGTGCCTCGGTTTCCCCATCCATCGAATGGGGGTGCTCAGACCATCCACCTCACCTCAGAAGAAAGTCGCCAGGATGGAAAAGTGGAGGGCGCCCTGTGGGGCACATGGCCGATTGTCACTGAATGAGAATCGTATTACCAAGATTTCCAAATGATCCCAGATAGATAGATTTGGGCTCATTCCAAGTAAAAGCATTCCGATGCCTACCGCTGGCGTTGGTAGTAAGCTCCCTGTCCCTGCGGGGCATTCAACCACACCGAGGAACACCCTTTGGTTTGGGGGGGGGCTGCCCAGGTTGGGAGATCAGGCTGAATGCTCAAGCGAGGACGCCAGGATCTGCGGCCGTGTGCCCTCAGCGGCCAGCCCTGGGAATCTGGGGAAACCTAAGAGGCTGTGGATTTGAGAAGAGGCCCAAGGAGCAGACTGCTGGATTCATGACCACGGACTGCAGCCCCAGGGGGACTGAACCAGAGGCTCCCCAGACACAAGAACCACGGACACTCTTCCACATCCCACTCTGTTCTTGGGCTGACAGCTTTATGCAGTGATCAGATTTCTCAGGCCCAAAGAGTATTTTTGGCTTAAAAGCGCACAAATCCTGGCCAGTGGCCCACAGTGAAACCTCTCCCACCAGCAGGGAGGGCCCCGGACAGCAGCCCCTGTCCTGCCCCGCCCAGGGCTGAGAAAACAAGCAAACATTTCTACCTCCCCAGCTGGACCCCCAGGTGCACGTGTGACAGCTGGGGTACCATCCCAGCCCTTGAAAGGTGGGTTGAGGGGGACAAGGCCTGCCCAGAGGAGGAGAGGTCAACAGACTCATTCAAGGTCACACAGCCACTAAAGAGGGAGGAGGGATGGGAGCGCAGATACCCAAACCCCAGGGGATCCGACCAAGCAGCCGCCTCTCAAGTAGGGAAGACAGAGACAGAATGTGAGGATTTTAACAAAAACGATGCTGCTTCTGCTCACAAAGCACCCACGGTGATCGGGCCCAGCCAAGCGCCCCATCTACACCGCTCTCTCGTCTTTGTGAATGTGTATTGCATGCCCACCACATCCAGCTCTGGGCAAATCACGCCAAAATTGTATTTAAGCCTCCCCACGACTCCAAGAGGTAGGTATCGCCACAATCCCCGTTTCACAGATAAGGAAGCTGAGGGACAGAGAGGTTAAGACACTTGCCTGAGATCACAGAGTTTGTGAGCAGCTCAGGTAGCAGTTGGCACCCAGGACATTGGTTCAAATCTAGGCTCTACTGTTTAGTGGCTGGGAGAGACCCCCTTTTTCCACCCTTTATTCCAGGGGACTTGCCCAGAGGTGTCGTCTACGCTGGCCATGATGGCCCCCAGAGGTGGAGGCATAGAAGGTCTGGCGTTGGCCACAGCACGCTGGCAGAACTCCAAACACAATACTCCCAACCCTGCCTGGTAGAGGCCCAGCCAGAGGGGCCCTGGTGATGCTGGGGAACTGCCAAACCCCTTCTCTCCTCCCCAAACCAGGGCTCTGCCCATCCCCCGCCACAAGTGGCCATATTCCTGGCCAACCTCATTAACCACCGGCAATGTCTAAAGTCTAATGACCAGCTCAGCAGGACAGCAGGACAGGGAGTGAGAGCCCAAAGGTCCCCCGCCTCCCAGGAGGGGGTCCAGGGTGGGGGTGGGGGGCTTACAGAGTGTGGGCCTCGGTAGGAGGCATGGCCCAGAGGACCTCATCCTGGCTGGGGGGTGGGGGGGGCGGTCTGGGGAGCTGGGTATGGCCATAGATTCTGGACTTACTGAGTTGGCTCAAGCAAACCTCCCCCTCTGGGTCTGTTTCCCTCTCTCAGACACAGGGTGTGGGGGAAGATGGGGAACTCTTTAGAAGTCTCTGGGAAGTCTCTTTAGAAGACAAAGCAATGGGTAGAAGGGCACAGAGACTGAGGCCAGAGGGTCAGGAGGCATAGAGACAGGGAGCCAGAGAGGCAACAAGGGTGGCCAGTGAGCCAGAAGGGCACGGAGTCCTGTGTCCGAGGGGCAGAGGGGCGGGGCGGAAGTGAGGGGCTTAAAGACTGGGGTCCAGAGAGCACAAGGGCTAATGGGTAGGGAGCCAGGAAGCCAGAGGGGAGGGAACCCTGTTCCAGAAACGACAGAAGGACATAGAGACCCGAGGGCTAGAGGAGCCCAAGGGCCGAAGGGTTGCAAATATATCTGAGCACGGGGCCTGTCTCCTAACCGCCCCCTGTCCCTCCAGCACCCCCCAGGCCCCAGCTCACCCAGGCAGCGGGAGCCATCCAGGCTGCTGGCAAACCCACGGGGACAGGTGCACACAAAACTGCCAGCTGTGTTGGTGCAGCCGCCCCCGGAGCAGAGGCCCAGCACGCTGACACACTCATCCACATCTGTGTAGACGGATGCCTAGTCAGAAGCGGGTCTGCCACCAGCTGTACCCCTCCTCTTCCTCCTCCTTGCAGGGGAGCCTGAGCTGCCCGGAGCCAAAGGAGGCCCCCAGTCGTCACCCTCCCCATCGCCCACCTTCACACTTGGCACTGTTCTCACTGAGCCGGTGTCCAGTCGGGCAGCGGCACTCGAAGGAACCCACGGTATTGATGCAGCTGCCCCCCTGGCACAGGCCCGGGACGGCCTGACACTCATCCACATCTGCAAGGGAATGAGAGGCCCGTCAGAGGGAAGAACCAAGGCTGCAAGGGATCCCATTCAGCCCTGGCCCTCAGGACCGTCCTCCCTACTCGCTGACTCCCTTACCTTGACAGGCCCCTGTGTGGATATTGGGGATGAAGCCTCGGCGACAGGGGTGAGGCTGTGCAGGACAGAGCTCACAAGGGACACCCCAGGCCTGGCCCACGGTGGCACAGCAGAGTGCTTTGGTGCACGCGAGGCCGATCAGCTGGTGCCGGCACCCCTCAGGGCCCACTTGACCGAAGCAGGGGCCCGTCCGATAGTCTGTGAGACAGGGTAGCTGGCTACTTCAGCTGCCCCCGCCCCAGAACTTGTCATCCCTGCAGCCCCAGCTCGGGCCCTTACCTCTCTTACTCGGACCCCTGCTGTGGCCTCCTTTACCAATACAGCAAGCAGCCTTTACTCGTGCTGTACCCCAGCCCTATCAGACGAACTCCTATTCACCCTTCAAAACCCTTTCTCCCCAAAGCATTCCCCAACCAACCTCCAAAAGAGAGGCCAGGACCTCCAAGTCCACAAAGACCAGAGCATGTCGGAGAAGCCGACCACTCCCCCTGGCCCACCCTCCCTTCAGGCCTGGGCAGAGACCATAGATACCCAGCAGGACAGCCTGTCTCATCCCTGAGTGCAGGCCAGGCCCTGCCAGATCTCCCAGACTCGAGGAGGGACCCAGCACAACACCACACCCCTGACCCCTGAGCCCAGCCAAAGGTGGTCTCTGGAGTGCCCCCACCTCTGTACACGGGCTCAGATGTGGGCTTCCTGGTTCCATCCTCCAGATGGTTCCAATCAAGGGGCTGGCGACAGACCAAGGGAAGCCCCTCCCAGAAGGGGAAGGCAAAGCCGGGCCCCCTAGACCCGTATGGAGGAGGAGACACGCAAAAACCAGCCACGGTCCCGACTCCACTAAGCCCAAACAGTTCCAGAATCTCACCTAATTCACCCAGAACTCTGGAATCCCCCTGGCTCCTGCCTCTCTCTGGGGCCCTCACCAGCCACCACCCACTCAGGCCTCCCTCTCTCACCCGCCCCACCGACCCTCCTCCCCTTCAGCCACCCCACACTGTTCCCCTTCCCCATCGGTCAGCCCGAATTCCAGTTCCCAAAAGCACCCGGCTCGCACCGAGGTGACCCTCCCAGTCCCTCCAGCCTCTGACTCACAGCTACACCGTCCCCACCCCGGCTTTGGCCACAGATGGGTCTTTTCCTCCAGCAGCACCTCCCAACGCTGGGGTCCGCCCACCTCCGCCGGCCTGGGCTCCTGGGCCACACACGCAGGGGCAGCCTCGTGGCTCCCGCAGCCGAAACCTCACCAGCCCGGCATCCCCACCGCTGCCCACTCCTGCTGGCTTTCTCCTTCTCAGCTTCCCCTGGGCTCCGTGCTTTCTGCGCACCCTGAGTCACCCTCGCTTGTCTTCCGCCAGAACCTCAACCATCCGCTCGGCTTCGGGCCCACGGACGGGGCAGCCCCGGGCCTGGCTGTCCAGCTATTTCTGCCTGCCCCGCATTCAACTTTTCACAAAACACCGTTGCCTCCCAACAGATGACCCCCGCCCCACCTCAGCTGTGGGAGTATTTTGACAATGGGGGGGGGTGCATTAAAGGGAGGCTTGTCCATCTCATGAACTCTGACTTATCGCTTCTTCCAGGAAGCCCTCCCTGATGCCCTTCCCTGGAGCAGCAGTTTCTCTGCCCTTCACAGCACCAGGGACAATAGAAAGGAGGCCAGCTGGAGCCTCCCAGGGCCTGGCTACATCTCAGGGGCTGCCGGGAAGCCCCCTGCCATCCCCCAAGGCCCCTACCCCACGCCCAGCTTGGTACCTCTCTCACACCGCGGCCCCATGAAGCCATATGCACAGGCACAGCGGTTCGGCCCTATGCAGCGGCCCCCGTTGTGGCAACCACGGTCACAGACGGCTGTGGAGGAAGAGAGGAGGGTGGCCTGAGGTCCCCTCGCAGCAGAGGGAGCTGGGGCCCCGAAAAGCCCATTTTCACCCAGGAATCCCCACCGTGTGGCCCAGACCCAATGAGAAGAGTGTGACGATGGGTACGTATGTCCCTCCCTTCCCTGGTCCCAGAAGAGTGGCCTGCGGGTGGTGGGGGGGGGGCAGCTGACAGCAGAGACCCGCCCTCTGGGCCCCCCGGGCCCAGGTGTTCACGGGAGATACTCACGCTGCCCACACACCGTGCCCGTGTAGCCCCTCTGGCACAGACAGGACTCCCCTCGGCAGCTGCCCCCATTCATGCAGCTGACGCTGCACCCTAAGGACGGGAGGAGGGACACGCGGCAGAGTGGTGACAAACCCTCGAGATGCACGAGATCTGTGGCAAGACGAGGCTGGCCCAGCCCGGCTCTGGTCGGTCCTCCGGCAAAACCAGCCTGGGCCCCCAGTGGCATCCGGGAGCCTCCGACCTTCTCCTCCTGCCCCCGGGGGGCCATCTCCCTGCTCACCTCGGCTTCCCCCGCAGCTGGGGGCCAGCTTCCCGTCAGCACAGGTGCACAGGTTGGGCCGGGAGCAGAAGCCGTCACCACAGGCGTGCCTACAGACGGCTGGCATGGGCAGAGCAGGTGACAGTCAGTCAGGGCTGGGACCCGAATCCTGTGCCGCCCCCACCCCGCCGGTGCCCAGGCAAGGCTCTGGGTTTCTGTGGGAGCCACGAGGAGAGGGGCTCTTTGGGCCAGAAGGGCTGAGCACCGAGGACAGAAGCCGGAGACGCTGGGTCGGTGACTGTGGTGTGGAGGTGGAGGGCTCTCCTGGGGGTAGAGTCAGATTCTAGAACCTGGGGGCTGGGGGGTACAGACTGGCAGAGATAGAGACAGATGGGGGGAAAGACAATGGGAGGGAGACAGGCAGGCAGGGACAGAGACAAGGAGGCAGTGAGGCAAAGGAAATGAACATAGCAGGGTGGCCTGGGAGCCTGAAGACAGGCCAGGGCCAATCCCGTGGTTCAGCTCCTGGTCAAGTCAGCTGGCAAACAGGGCTGGACTTGCCAGGGGGTTAGAGAGCTGCCCTGGCATCCCGCCCCACCTCCAGAGGGCGATGGCACTCACGAACGACACACTGGTTCCCGCCTGGCAACGTCCTCCAGCCGGGACAGCAGTAGGCGTGGAAGCGGGAGCCGCACACGTTCGGCCTTTGGGAGAGCGCAGCACAGCGGGTGAGCCCCTGCCCTGCAGGACATCCCCTGGGCCTCGTTCCCCCCACCCAGCAGGACAGCCCAGCCCAGCCCACACCCCAGGGGCCTGTCAGCATGCCGGGAGCCACGCACCCCTGCAAGATGCCCGGGCTGCCACGCCTCTGCACACGTCCGGGACCTGCAGACTCCAAGGCCCTGTCCCATCGGCCGTGGACACCCACCACGCACAGCAGGGCCGTCCAGGCCAGCAGGAGCCGAGCCAGGGGGCCGCAGGCCATGGTGAAAGCCCCAGCCCTTCTCCTTGCTGAGCACAGGCCTTTCAGAACCATCGTGCGTCCCTCAGAGGCTGCAGAGGGGAAGCAGAGTCAACGGCAGCAGAAGCCACAGAGTACCCAGGGGAACCAGGAGGCTGGGACGGCTGGATGGCAGGGTGAGGGGACGGGGAACAGGTACTAGAGCCCAGGGAGGCATCCAGCCCTGACCCAAAACCAGGTGAACAGTCAGGGCAGGCTTCTTGGAGGAGGTGTGATGTCTCAGAGTTAGCTGAGAGAAGAGTGCTGGGAGCAGAGAGCGCAGTGAGAGCACAGGCAGGAGGAGTGTGGAGTGGAACTTCTACTTGCGGTCCAGGGCGATGGAGAAGCCCTGAAGGGCGTGAAGCGGGAGGAACAAAGGCAGATTGGGTGTTTGGTGGGGTGTCGAAGGGCTTGCAGGGGCCTGGGAGGAAGCGTGCAGGTGAGGAGGCTGGGGCAGGGGCCCAGAGAGGGGAGGGGACAGAATTCCAGGATGAATGAGGAGATGAGTCACCAGGAGTTGGAAGCTGGTTCCAAAGGAGGCAGGAGGCATTGAGGAGACTCCCGGAATCCTGGCTGGGAGGGCTGACGGGAGGGGACCCGAGGGCAGGGGGGACAGGTGGCGGATGCACATAAGGGTGGCGCACTCCCTCCACCCAGCAGGGAAGGGATAGCTGTTGTGCCCAATGCACAGATGAGCAAATCAAGGCCATCACACAGTTAGTGAGGGGCTGGGGGTGGGTGAGTGCTGAAGCCCAGGCAGAGGCGGGGAGAGGGAGAGGATGGGTGCACCCCCCCTCTGAGGAGGTGGCTGGCTCTCTCCAGAACCTGGAAGGGCAGGAGGCTAGAGACGGAGGTGAAGGAGATGACCAGGTGCGGGTTAGGAGGAAGGAAGCTGAATACTTGTAGGACAGCAGACAGACCAAGTGGCCTTCTGGGGGACCCTTTCAGCTCCTACTTTCCAGACCAGAGAGAAGAACTGGTCCTGGGTAGGGAACGTGCAGGAAGTCTGCTGTGTGCCCTTGGGCCGGTGGCTGCCCCTCTCTGGGCCTTGGGTGCCAAGAGAGCCTGACCAGGTGGTCCCCAGGTCCTCGGGGAAGGGAGAGACCCTTGTCAACCGTGGCGAGAGTCGGGAAGCCTCAGCCTGGCTGGGGACGGGCACCCCTTTCTCGCCTGCAAGCTGCCCCACTTCAATCCGCGCGGGGAGGGCGCGGGGAGGACGTCTCCAGGCAGCCTCGGGGCGCACGCCGCCTCGCTCCCCGCCCCCTCTGCCCCCGGGCTGGGGGGGGTGGGTAGAGACTGACCAGTCCTGACCCCTGACCCGGCACCCTCCTCCCCCC